TGTGTGTGTGTGTGTGTGTGTGTGTGTGTGTGTGTGTGTGTGTGTGTAACTTTAAGAAAAAAAAACCCTTAAGGTATTCCTCTTTTAGAACCCTCCCATTCTTGAGAGGTCTGCCTAACATTTCCTTGATAAATCAGTGTTCACTCTGCTGAGAAAGGGAAGAGACAGCGGATGTGATGGTGTGTGCTTGTGCCAATAGTCGCGGCACTCCATCAGAGTCAGAGGCAGGTGGATCCCTGTGGGTTAAACCAGCATGGTCTGTACTGAGTTTCCGGCCAGGGTTCCATATAGAGAACTTATCTGCAAAACTGAGCAGTTAATCCAAGGGGGCTGTGCGATGACTTAGTGGTAAGAGTGTGTACTGAGCTGCAGGAACTCGAGTTTGTCTCCCAGCACCCATGGTGGGCAGCTTACAACCATCTGTAACTTCAGCTCCAGGGACTCTGGGGCCTCTCAACTATAAACAATAAAAATAACTCTTTATTTAAAAAATGATCTAAATGAGCCACCAATCATCTGGACAGAATAACTGTCAGTTCCAGAAACATTAAGAAACCTAGTGCATCTAAAGCCTTGCTAAGAAGAGGAGAGGAATGGCTTTAATGAGATAAGTACTTACGTACCCCAGGAGCCCTTCCTTCACTGCAGTGGCTGTAGATCTTCATTGCTAAGCCAACCCAATTTCTGAGTTCTAACCCAGAGCATGACTAGTTTTACCCTTTCAAACTCCTTTTTTTGCGAGATGGGCTCAAATCCTAAACCAATGTACTCAGACGCTGAGCATTGTCACTGTCTCTGGCTACCAACCTCCTTCACCCTCTGTAGCTGCTGACAGATTTCTATTGCTACACCTGTCTGCTTTCTTAGCCTCTAACTCAGACAGCATAGTTTCATTCCTCTTAGCCATCTCTCTCCAAACATCTGCCTGTCCCGTTGTTTTTTAAAATTGCAAGCTCCAATTAAAATTATTCTTAGATTTCCCTCTTGGTCTGTTTGTAATAAATTCTCTTCTCTCTGAGTGTCTGAACCTGAATAAGTAATATGTTATACAAGACTAGGTTTTTCTGTGTGTGAGAAACATTGAAGTCAGGTCAAGACTCCCCACAATCAAGTTCTCAGCACAAAGGAGATTTATTTGCCCCATAGTGACAGAGGGAAGGGATAAGAGATCAAGACAGGAGAGAGATGAAGAGGGAGAAGGGGAAGGGAACAAGAGAGAGGGGTATTTATCCTGAAGGACTGCCTCTGGATAGTGAGAAAACAGACAAGGCCCATAGAAAAATGGCAGTTTATAAAGGTAAAATGGGTATTTAATTTTAATTGGGCATGTTAATTGGGTGAGCCAAAGGCGGCCTTTGAGTGCCAGACCTCAGTACTTTGATAGCTGGACCTTGGTAGTCAGCCCCAGGAGGTGGAAGTGACCAAAGAAGGGAATAGACCTTGGTAGCTAGCTTCAGGAATGCCATCTAACCGTTTTTCCGCAGAGGGCTAGTGTCCCTTCATTGTGTGGCTAGCTCTGGGCTATGGAACGTGGGTGGAAGTGACAATATGCCAGTCCAGAGCTGAGGCCTCTGGAGACCCGAGTGTCTCTGCTGCTCTGCACACCCACCATCTGCCACCTGCCATGAGGAAGGCTTGCCCTGGATAGCTAGCTGTAAGACCTAGAATGGGAAGCAGAAAGAATGCACCTTGATTCAACCCATAGCCTGATGCAACAAACACCAGCATCCCAGCTGCTAACACGACAATCTCTAAACAAGATACACTGGTGTTTCTCTTTTTTCAGTACCAATGAAGTTGTCATTTCACAGAAAGAAAGAACAACAACAACAAAACCTACAGCTTATGCATTTGTTTGTATACAGCCTTGTCCCTCCCATTTGCCTCTCTGCTTATACTGTCAAGGAGAGCTAATTCCCAACAGGCTGCGTTTCATATGCTCCTGGGTCAGCTGGCTTTGACCAGGTTCCATCAAGGAAGGCATTGATGGGGGGCTGGAGAGATGGTGACAGGGTGTTTCTCCTTCACTCACTGGTGAAGACATCTCCAGCATGGCTCCCAGCTCTGCAGGGCAAATCCTGCCCTGGTGCTGATGGCTCTGCCTTTTGAGCTCTCTCTTTAAACTTCCAAATCCAAACTGTAAT